ACCGTGTTTCTATGAATAGCTTTTCTCGAGGGATATTTGGAGCTGTAGGAAAGACTCACGACTGATATTTTTCACATTTCATTCACAGAAAATGAGAGCTTTGAAAGATACAATTTAATGAAAAGATCGATTTTTAAATTTAATTGTCATAATATTCTAACCGATTACAAAGTGATGATTGTTTTTTGGATCCATATTTCAATGTACTTTTTTTTTGCTTTCATCAATAGCTTTTGAACAGCTTTTGGTGTAAACACAAGGATCATATTTATATTCTGGACCAGGAAGTCACGCAGGTAGCCGTAGCTGCCTCTGTGGTAATATAAGGAATACTAGAAATTTTAGATCTCCTAACAGCAACCACAAATGTGCGATAGACCCCTGTTGGTGACTCCGTTCATTTGTGCTGTTTTTTCGTTTTCGGCAACCAAGTGTTGCCCATTTTTGCACTTGGCTACACTGTGCTGATGAGGCCAATAGCCAGTAACACGTGTCCGCAGTTTGCCATCAATTTTTCTTGAGTGCTGTTTCGACTGATCTCCTTTTTGAATGTACTTCAATATTAACATTTGTTCACAAAAAGGATTTGAAGCTTCAATAACTTCTAATTATTTTATGCGAACGCTTTCGATAGCAGACTGTGCTATCTTATTCATTGCTCTACTCAAACTGAACGTTTTATCATCCTGTTTGTTCTTTTATACGGTTAGGACGCCTTAGTGCAGGTATTTGTCCACTCTTTTCATCCGGATGTCTCTTTAAATTTGCCTGTACTGGAGAAACCCTAATCCCTATTGATTCTTTCGTAGGTCACTGATTTCGAATATTTGGTTCTCAATTCAAGGTAGAGGTATTCCCGAACAACAACATTTTTCAACGTTACCATAGAGTAACGATTTAGAGCGGGAAAATATTTGCTGTTGAGTTGGTTTTCATCTGGATAACAGGTATGTTTATGGTTCATAATATCCAGATTTTCAACAATGTCGATTGCAGTTTCAACCTCGTAGTAAAAAGTGCAAAAGAAGTCAAAGACAAGTTTCGTATCTACCTTGAATATTTCTGAAAAACATTCACTTTGAGGAATCTAATCTAGATACATTATGTGGAAAGTTTTATAATAAACAGAAAACTTTAAAACTTGTTTCACCATACCATTGATACTTTCAAAATGTTTTGTTTAACCATGGACTACAAGTTTCAAAAATGCATTGCTTAGATTTGCACGAACTTCGTGATGATGACCCCGACAAATCAATTTAATTTTGTAAAATTATGATAGCTAGAATTATTGCAGGACCTATTAGCCCATCAAAAATATTTGCTTTAAGACGAGTGCACTTTTTATTCAAATGTGCACGCAAAGGAACAAAACTGTCGTAATAATGGAATGACACGATTATTTGGAGAAGGGCATTCGCAATACCCCAAAAAAAATAATTTTTGCGCTGGTATATTGGGAGATGCAATTATTGGTCCATTATTTATGGAAGGAATTTGAATGGCGAAATGTATGCTCACATGCTAGAAAGATCTATCGAACCACGGATAGTTCATGAATTAGAGATTCAGAGAGACTTACAAGGCAATTTATTTTTAGAAAAAAAAAATTACATTCTCAACAGGATGGGGCACCTCCTCATTATATGGTCCCAGTTAGACAATAGTTAGATAATAATTATCTAATCAATGGATTGTAAGAAGAGGTCCCATTGAATGGCCTCTTAGATCCCCGAACTTATCTCTTCTTGATTTCTTCATCTGGGGCCACCTAAAACTTGTTGTTTTTAAAACGCAACCTGACTCAATTTCGGTTATTATTCATTTGTAGTACTTATTTATCTTGTAGAAAGTTTAGCAAGAGTTGTCCATCTTCGGACGCGAAATGAACATTTAAATCTCCTTTTCTCTAATTTTTCTCCTAATTTTTTATAGCCTACTCGACCATAAGTGTGTACTCGCACCTCTCTCTCTCTCTCTCTCTTGCCCCTACAGTAATATACGAAACGTAACTTTCTCTTTCTATCTTCACTAACTTATACCTCCCTCTCAATTTCCGTTCGCCTCGTTCGATCACACTTTTCGTAACGCTCTAGTCACGCATTCGCGAGCTTACTCCCCAAGTCAAGCGCGCGTGAAATTTTGCTTCAAAAACAAAAGAATTTTCACGATAAATTTTATTTTAAACGCATTTCGCTACACGGTATTTCCTGGTACATCAAAATATGAAGCTACCGTGTAGCGCGTTTTGAATAAAATTTATCATGGAAATTCTATAATTATCATAATGGATGTTATATCTCACTTAACGACATATAACATGAATGACTATCTAGGATAAAACTTCATCAGCAGATACTCCTGAACTTTAATTATAGTTTCTTATCGATACGTGAAATTATTAATAGTTGAAATAATCACTCATTACATACCTAACTTACTGGACATTATCAACAATTTCTCGAATCCATGCACCTGTGCTTTTAGTTACTCATCGTAACACATGCATATGAAAATATAGTGATTCTACAATATAACTCTGTATGTACTTGGCTGAAGCACATCTGCATATAAGTGTTGATTATTTTTGGCAAAGTAGTTACCAACAACCGTGAACTTAGTTTGTTGTTCTACCGAGATATTGAGTGCTATTTGCCATGAGTGCACATATTTCAATGATTACGTCAATTTATGATGAGTCCCGACCACAGATGATCGAATGGTGAGTCTCTCTTTCTAGTCTTCTGCAAATTATTTCTTAAATCTTTGTTTATGAGTCGATCTCTACAAACATCTCTACAAAACATTCACAGTTTGAGAAACGCTAAACTTGCCAGAAAACTTACTGTTCAAATACAGGTTATTGTCCAACTTCTTCTCAATTACTCTTAACAAGCCCAAATGAAATGATACAGTAAAAATTCTCCACTGGAATCAATGTCCTAGGAGGGGTAGATGTTACCCTTAGAATTTTATATGGCAAAGGGGGTCAAGTGGCACATCATTTTGATTGGTGTTCAATTCTGCCTCCAATGGTACCCTGACTTATTATTTTTTTATGCTGCCAAGTCAAGGTGGTGTATTTATAGTTCCTCTAGGTTCATGAACTTCAACTTGCTGAACTATTTGAACTGGTGAATCACAGAGAGCTTGTTGTTCAACTGTTGTCTGAAGAAACAACTGTAATTCTTGAGATGAAAGAGAAGGCGATAATGGTGGTGTTCCACCTTCAGTTGGATTTTCATTAGATACAGTTACAACTACAGACTCAGTAGTATTTTCCGGTTTAAGTTCATCTGTTCTCTCAGTTGTATTTTCCGGATTAGGTATATCTGTTACAAATGCAGGAGCAAAATCGATTTCAGTAAACAGAATCCGGATATAAGGGTAAATTCCCGTTTTGCGAAAGACGGCTTGAATGTTGGGATCGTCTTCGCCGGATGCATCTCAACAGGGAACAATGGTTCCCTCAGTTATCACCCCGTATCAGGCCCGTGCTGGGCCGCCGGGACACCGGAACGTGTCCCGGTGCGCCCTTTGGCCGGATGCGCCCTTTGGCCGGACCTTTCTGGCACCCTCCTTGGAAACCAAATTGGTGGAGTTTCTGTTGAAGGATCATATGATCAAGTCGATCAAATGCTTTAGCAAAATCAGTATATATCAAATCAACTTGACCACGATTATCTAAGACATCACTAACATTTTGGGTCAATACAATTAAATTTGTTATGGTGGATCTGTTTGACAAAGCAAATTATGAGTAATAGAATTTATGAATCAAAGGATAATTTTGTCAAAACAAAGGAATAAAGTGCTCAAAAACACTTGACATGTCGACAGTGGCATACGCTGATTATACTCTGAGTCAGAAAACTGTTTAAATGTGGTACAAACTTTTCAAAAAAGATCGAGTAGAAGTAAATGACCACTATCGCCCTGGACACCACAGCACCTCAACAACCGATGAAAATGTTGAGAAAGTGAAGAAAATTGTTATGGAGAATCGTCGAGTCACTACTAGAGAAGTTGTTGAGGATGTCGGCATATCGGTTGGTTCATACCATGCAATTTTTTTAAATTTTGTTGTATGTATTTTCTATGTATTTCCTGGGGTACTCCGTGTCTGGCAATTACGTTTTGCAACAGGGCTTCTGCCACCGTTTCAGCCTCTTGGTTACCTAGGGCTACTACTTCAGGCCATTTGGAGAAATAATCCATCACAACTATAAGGTATTTATTACCGGATGTGTTCATGGGGAGTGGTCCCAGAATGTCAACTGCGATTCTCTCGAAATGGCGCCCACAGAGGTATTGCTTAAACCTCCCTCTTTGCCTTGTCTTCGGACCCTTTCTTAGAGCACAGATCACAGCGCTTACACCACTCTTCCACGTCTCAGCGACAATTGACCCAATAGTACCTCTCACGTTCTATATACAAAATACCCTCCAGTGCGACCATCGTGAAGTATATTCGGGATACACGTCTTTGGAAAGATCATCTGGAGTTTGTGGGTTCTTCCATCCGAGCGTTCTCATTTCCGAGTGAGTAGTTCATTTTGAATGCACATGGAGTCCCATTGGGGCCAGTAACCCTTTTTCTGCTGGCCGTGCTTGGAAATCTCTTGCCATTCCGGCCTCACTCCTTTGTTGTCAATCCATTCTCGTACATATTTCAAGACGGGATCCTCCTTCTGCGCTACGATGATATCTTGCCTCGTCATAAAGTTAGTGTCAATCTCGGAGGTTGTTACTGATCGTACCACACCATGGTCAGGTGATTCCTTCTTCCATATCCCTGGACAAGGGACCCTTACAGGTTGCTACCCTCCGGGTCAGAGGGAACCCGAAGAAGGGGGAGATAGGGAGCTTATCTCCTTATCAGAGCTATCAGAGGTGATTAACGAAAAACCAGATTTTTTTTGTTAAACAGATCCATAAAGGAGTCTGCTCGCTACGATGCTTCCCGAAGAATTTCATTAATTAGGACTTCCATTGTCTTTGAACAAAAACGAAGAACCGTTGACAGAAGCTGTCAACCTTGAGCTGATAAACCTGAAGCCGGTGGCCCACAAGAATGGTGGAGAACCCTACGACATCGGCAACGGCATGACTACGATACCTCTGAAGAGGGATAATGATAGAGACGTCGGGAATCCCTACGACGAATATTTCGTACCGGTAAACGAGCATCGGAAGTATATGAGGTGAGTTCATAAGTTCCGTTTCATATTTAACGAAATTCATTTCTATGAAGGAAATTAAGCGTTATTTTATCGGTTTTTTCACCTACCACAATATGAAAAATATAAAAATTTTAATGGAGAACGTTATAAAATAAAACAAACCAAAGAAAAAACTCCATAATTCATTAGATTTTTTCCAATTCTGAGGACGGAAGCAGATTTAAGGCTTCGAAACATTAAGAAAAGTAACACCATAATTTCTCAACTCCTTTTCTCCATCACAATTTTCGATAGAAGCGAACTAGAATCATTTAAAATGGTAGTTTTTACCTAGACTATTATTGGTTGACATTTCGAAAGAGGAATGTGAATGTCGGGATTTCATTTGCATAACTAGTAAATAAATTATTGATGAATAATCGATCTTCATTGTAACGAGATGAGACTTCTTCTAGTTTCGTTCTCTTTAACAATACATGATGTTTTTTATTCGAAATACACCCACACGCATTCTTCAATATACACGGTGGCCGTGAAAAATGTATCACAAAGCATAACCAGGGAAAAAACTGTTTTAACAAATTTCAAACCACACTGCTTGATACTCAAAATTTTGGAGTTTGTTGTTTCCAGCCCTGTTGGAGGGCTGATATAATTCACCTGAAAGTCAATCAGTTCACATAATGTTTTCCCCTCAAAACTAAAATTCATATATTTTTTTTTATTGAAATTTAGTAGCAATTTTATATTAATAACAGCGAAGTATGTCAATCTTCTAATCTCGTAATCTGTTGCAAGTAAACATTCCATTCGAAAGTGAAAGTAACCCGTTACCAGATGGACATTTCTGGAAATCATTATCAATCGTAACAAGGTGACGTACATTCATCGATTAGAACCAATTCTATCTTATCTTGTTTCTAAAATCGTTATAAAAATTATATACTGGTTGTTGGGAGACAGCAACAGTCGTTAGTATTTTCCTTATTCACAATATCAACATTCAGTCACCTTCACATTTGCTAAACGATTCGACTTTTATAACTTGAATCCATAATTATGTCTCAACATATAGACCTAATAAAAGTAAATTCGTCGGTAGCCGGTCGGCCGACGTGGGTGCTTTGTTCACTCACTCAAATCGACCGCCGTGTTGGTCGGTGGTTCAAGCCCCAGGCTGAACGATCGATTTTCACTTGCTATCCTCCAACCTGTCTTAGGAATCACACGTTAAAAGATGAGACCTCGTTAGTCCTCAGCTTGCACAAGTTTCGACTACTGAGAGTTGTCGTTCGTAGGGGTGCGACAGCTGGTTAACGGAATAACAGATTTTTTTAAACAGATTGAAGCATAAAAATGAATCAAGCGTAGTGTACTCGTAGAGTAGTCACTTATCGCTTGTTTTCAATTCACTTTATTACTTTCACTCAGTTTTTCAATTATTGCATATGTGGGTTCTTCGAAAGTCAACAAATGTATTCAATATTACTTATTCGTCTAATTTCTTATTCACTTCGTTTATGGACTGTTCATTTAGATTCTTTTTCTTATCTTCTACGAACAGTTTCCCAACATGTTTTAGACTTCTCTGACTCTGCCGTTGAATGCAATTATCTTTACCTCAAACTTCTTTCTCTCTCTGATCTCAATAATTTCACTTTGGATGTGTTGAATTTTTTTCTGTCATTTATATCTGTCCCCTGCTAATTTTACTTCATTTTGTTGTTGTTTTTAGTTTTTCATCTAAAATGCAAATTTTTTTTCTGATATTTCAATTTCTATTTTCTTTCCGTTCCCATTGTTTCAGTTCCTCTTTTCCGTTAATTTCTTATAATCCCACTTCTTCCTTTCCTCACATTTCTTATCGCTGTAGTTCTTTCAGCTGAGTCTTTTCTAATTTTCTTTCACTTTCTTGTTGTACTATTCTAGCATCTTTTGTTTTTCTTTTCTTTCACCTTCTTGTAGTTCTAGTTATCATAGTAACATATATTTTACTTCTTTCCTCTTTCTTTTTCATTCCCTTACTTGCCTCTTCTCTTATTTTAATTTTTTCAAGAATTCAGGGAAAACTGTCGTCATCGCCATTTCATCGTAGTTATTTGCTCTTAAATTCACCGATGGTGGTTTCTCAGTAAATGGCACCCTTATCAAATTAAAAACTTTATCCAATTGTTCAAAAATACAAATCAAAACAGACGTACATTACTGCTATACCCGAAATGTATACATCGATCGTAGGCTCACCAACAATCTTCGAACTATTCTTTCCCGCCAAAATTACCAATTCTAGCCGAAGACATTACGTTAATCAATATATCATAAAATCTTCAATTAAGCAATAACACAAGAGTAAAATTAGTTAATTACTTACCACAAAAGTCCTAACAGGTATTCCCAAGAGGTATAAATGTAGCATCCTGTAACAATAACTGTTGTACTAAATACTTTTGTTTCGTTGCCTTCATTAACAATAATTTAACAAAAAATATATAATATCAATGCATTTATATTACAGAGGCGAAAAGTTGTATGTTACCAAGGACAATCGCGTAGAGAAAAGCAAAAGTAAATGCATTTGTTGGACCCTCTGCCTGTGCCTCGTAGCAGCAGCTGTGATCATAGGAATTCTAGCCGCAGGTACCTAGATAAAAACTGAAAAGAAATATGTAAATCCCATTAATTCATTTTCCGTTTTAGTTGGTGTTATTGGAAACCAAGGACCGTTACCACAAGAAGTCAGCGCTAGAACTTTCGACAGCAACCAAACGCCAATATCTAAAGGCAGCCTTAGTTTTCCCGGAGTGCAAGAATCTGAACTACCTCCATCACCTGAACCGCCTATCTCAACACTTTCTCCAATGTTGCCAACAACAGATACCTCCAAAATAGAAGGTAACACACAAATCCTATTCATTGACAAAAAAACTCCTGTCCTTACTGAATTGGAAGTTGGTACCAGGTCATCTTCGTTATGATTCTTGATTCAAATCAACAGCGAATGACCTTATATGATGAGAGTAGCCATCAAATGCTTCCCTTTTTAGATATAATCTCCGAAGGTCTATATTTTTTGTCTATATTTGTAGCCGAATGAAACTGACAGTGAATGAAAAATTAATATACCATTTTTGATTTTCCTCAACCGTTTATTATAAACCGATCAAAATTTTTTTGTAGTTCCCCGAGCGTTAGAATCCGAAATGAAAATAGACAACATTCAGTTCACCCCAGAGCTATCCAACAAAAATAGTTCGGAATACAAAGCTCTTGCCGAATCTTTAGAAGACGAAATCAAGAACTCGCTGTTCACGAGAGATATCCTGCAGTACGGACCAGCTGATATAGAAGTTAAGATCATGGAATTCACGTACGTATATCTCAACCGCTCTCAATTTTTTTCTGATATTCAATACTCAATATTTCAGACCAGGAAGCGTCGTTGTCAAATACCGCATCGCGTGGAAATTCAAAGAAGGAATCCACAATCCCAAAGACCCGATTGATCCCCCAACATTGAAACGAAAACTCTCTGATACCTTGAAAAGGAGCAATGGCCTCATGGATACTTACCACGTACCAGAAACTTCGCTATCGTCCCAGAAAATTCTCGATTTATGCCAGATCCAGAACAATGGATGCGAACATCTTTGCGTGTTCGACTACACCTTTCTCGACTTCGTATGTCTCTGCCCACAAGGTAAACATCTGGCCGGGGATGGAAAAACATGCGATATTGATTCTGTTCACTTTGAAGAGGATGTAAATGATCAACCCCAATCCGGTTTCAATAACCACGATTCTCATATCAATGAAGAACCAACAGACCATGATTTCGTCAACTACAACGACCATAACGAACAAGTGGAATCAGAACTTCCTCAGGAGATCCACACAGAACTTTACCACCAACCTGGTGAAGAATCAGAGTCTAGACACAACTTCAATAATGAATTCGAGAATGAATTCCAGGCTGAAGTTGAACCTGATACAGAACACATACCAACTCAACATAAAGACGCGGAGCGCGAATACAAACACCATCTCGAGAATGAATACGAACACGAATTTCCGGCTGAAGTAGATATCGCTACAGAATATCAAAGACCAATAGAACCCGAATCATTTCCTGAACCACCAGCAACCGCAGAACCTTCTGCTGCCGAACCCATTGCGAAAGCTGAACCCACATCCGCACACACAGAACGATCTTCATCATCAGTACCCGAGATATATTCGATACATTCAATAGAAACATCAGCAGAGCCCGAACCATCAGTAGAACCCGAACCATCAGCAGAACCCGAACCGTCAACCCGAACCATCAGCAGAACCCGAACCATCAGCAGAACCCAAACCATCAGCAGAACCCGAACCATCAGCAGAACCCGAACCATCAACAGAACCCGAATCATCAGCAGAACCTCAACCAGTCAGTGAACTTGAACCAGCCGCTGAACCCGAACCATCAGCACAATCTGAATCCTCGACGCCATACAAACTATCAGCAGAACCAGCAGTTGAACATGAACCTACAAATACACCTGAATCATCAAACGAGCCTAAGTCGTCTTCCGAACCTGAAACAGTTACAAAATTAGTATCATCCACAGAAATAGCTACGCAACCTGAAACGACGAAAACGCCTGAATCACCAGTCGAACCTAAACCATTGGGTGCTTTTGAGCCATCGTTTGAACCTGAGCCATCGGCCGAACCTGAGTCATCAGCCGAAACTGAGCCTTCTGTCGTCGAACCTGAGCCTTCTGCCGAACCTCAGCCATCCGGCGAACTTGAGACTGGGTCTGCAGTGAAACCCAAACCTGAGTCTGAAGAAGAAATTCAATTTCATATCAGTGACAAGACGGAAGCCTTCACTGAAACCCACATGAAAGAGAATACAGAACACCATGCTACACCACCTGCAGAACATTCTTCGGAAGCAATGATTCATGTTAACGACCTAATGCTTGAAGACAAATCTATGGAAACGGAAACGCAAAAAAATGATTCACCAGAATCATTAAATCATGTAAACGATCTACTAATGGCAGGTCACCCTGCAGAATCAGCATCTGAAAAAAATATGAGTCTTTCAGAAGTTAAAGAAAGTTCCACAGAAGTTCACCTGAACATGAATAATATCTTGGAACATTCAACACTACAAAACATGAATCATAATGAGACTGCCGAAAATGTTACAGAGATGGAACAGCCCAAACACTTCATTGAACCTGTGGAAATACACCAAAATGATTTTTATTATGATCAATCGCTGAAATTGCCAGAAGAAAAAAATGAAACAAATAACTTGAACTTTGTGAGTGAAGAACCTTATTTATTTCAGCAACATATTCCGGTTATCGAAACCTCCTCTAGTATCAACGAAGTGAGTACGTCAGAACTACCAGAAATTAAAACCGAAGTTTCTACTGGCGAGACCAACCATAAAGAAGACACAGCCGATGGCAATAAAGAACACTCAACAGAATACATAATGGACTTACAACCTGGTGAAATGGATAAGGAAATGCAGAGATTAGGATTGTTGAAAATTGTTACTCCGATAGCCGAAGTGATTACTACGAAGCCTCTAGTGACAGAAGTACCACCGGAAATAACTACGATGGAATTCAGCACAATGAAAACTATGTCTAATGACGTAACAACAAAAATACTGAATACACACGAGAACGAAGTTCAAAAGGAGTACCAAATTCCTATTATACTCGCGGGAACTTCAGATGACGCAGAAGTAAAATCGACCAAAGATGATGTTAAAGAAAATCAGATAAACATCAGCGAGATCCACCGGGTTCCAAAAATACAAGGTAGGTTAATAAAAAAAAATTTGTTGTTTCAAGCTACTGATAGAGTACAATAATAAGGTAATTAGATATTTTCTGCTTCGAAACATGAAATAGTGGTTAAATACAGAAACAATTAACAATACTGTATGCGGTTCACGGTCCTCATACAACTTTAAGTAACGTTTTTTTTTTCACAGAGCTCCATATGTACCAGGAAAACTCTCACGAACAATTCCCACCAAGCAATGACACAATGGAAACCATGGATCACCCAGATCACCTTCACGATGAATACATGTCACCCTTTCTACCGGAACTGGAAAACGATACATTCATCAACTCTCTACACTCTGACGAACATTTCTTAGACCACCACATGCCGGAAAACCACGAAAACATGTCTGTAACCAAGCCGCCTACTTTGGAGTTCGATCAGCTGAATCGTACCAATCCATTCGATAACAATACGTCCGATGCTTTAGCGGTTGCTCCGTTGACAACGGAAGAAAAAAGTAATATTATTGTGGACACCACGGAAGGGCAGCTTATGACAGTAAATCCAAATGAAGGTAAATATAATAATTCTTTTTTATTCCATGTGGGAAGTTATATTGGAGTAAGCCTCTGTAAAAATAATACGTTTTATGTGTCGTAAAATATTTTCATCCCAGAGAAATCTTATGTATTTCTCAGGGTCATTTCTTTCATGCTACGAGACAGCACTGTGTATAAAATATTCACTCGTCAACAAATAACTGTGTTGCGTTTTTGTAAAACAATTTAGTGAAAATCTCACAATAAAGTGTTTTTGGAATACGTTAGTTATGGATTTTCATCAAGTATCGGCCGATTCCATCATATATCGTCAACAAATGTTTTCTCATAATTTTTTTATTTTCTCAGACAGAACCACACAAAAATCTGAAGACGATACAACCGTCAGACAAGAAGAACCTGTTACCATGACTAGCACGGTAACAGAAAAAACTGAAGTGGAAATAGAACCCCTCAAATCCAATGAACCCATTGAAGTTATGGTAGGTAAAGAGGAAACTCAGATGAACAGAACAGATACAAATTATTCTGAACTCAAGACTACGGATGAAACTCCAGTGAATATGGAAACGTCAATGAACAGTGCTACCGAGATCAATACTACAATCAAAAACGAATTGGAAATTAAACTGATGGATAAGACTGAAACTGAAATGGAAACGACAGTGAGAAGTGAAACCGAAATTAACATGACTGACAAAAACGAATCTGAACCACATACTGTGAATGAAACTGCAACCGATCTGGAAATGACCACAAGAGGGAAAATAGAAATTATAACGACAGACTTAGACAGTAGTGAACCAAAAACAACAGATAAAGCTGAAGCAGAAATGGAAACAACCATAAAGAATGACACCGAGATGAACATAACAGATAAAAGCGAAATGGAGAATAAAACAGAGAGAGTCAATCTAGAAGCTAACAATCTTGAAATAGAAATGGAAACGACGACCCAAAATGAAACAATTTCTGATTATAAGGATGTGATGACCACAGATGGAAATAATACTGAAATGGAAACGACAAGTTCACCTCAAGTTGAGAAGATTATGGAACATGAAAGCAACATAGAAATTGAATCTACAGATGAAAACCGAACGGAAATGAAAACTGAGACTTCAGTTATAGCTGAAGTTGAGAAAGTCACTGATGATGAGTTCATGCCTAAGACAGTAGAAGAGACTTCAACAAGTCTTCCAATGGAAATGTCAACGTTACCGCCGGAAATCTTCAACAATATTCACAGCAATAACATTTTTGAAAAATTCTCCCACATTGCGGATAGATACGATACAGAAACGGAAAAGCAAATAGAAATGGATCCGCACGTTCAAAATTTCTATGATGTAAGTACCAGTACGGAGGATCTAATTGCTTTGGAGACAACTATGACCGTCTTGAAAACACCTGGTGACAGACCTGCCAACATGAGCACAGAATCTAACTTGATAACTACAGTAAATGCTGAAATTGTTGAAACAGTAACTACAGCTGTCAATGTTACCAGCAATGAAGACGACGCTAATGAGATTTCAACAAAATCCAACAAAGAAATAACTGCAGACCAGAAGGAATACCGGGTGAAAGAAACATTCGCTGATCTAACCACGACAGAAAAGCTGTTCGTAACTCCCAAGACCACCACCGAACACAACCCTGAGGAAGACGAAGATCTATCTGTAGTACCTTTGAATGAAATTTCGGCAGATGAAAGCAGGAAACTAGACAAGAAAGAAGTTTCGGTAGACGCTAGAGATGCCAGAAACGAAATCGTCAACGAAAGGTCGACAGAAATCGAAGACAATAATATTTCCACATTTGATGGAACGCAGAAGAAACAATTCCTGGATGACAAATCTTTCAAACCGGTGACGGAGGATTTCGACCTACCGAAATTCACTAGGTGTCCCGTTGCTCAATTCCAGTGCATAAACGGAACCGCTGTGAAAGATGGCAGCTACTGCATAGCGAGTAGTGACAGATGCGATTCTGTTCTGGATTGTACAGATGGGTCGGATGAAGTGGGATGCGAAGAAGAGGGATGTCCTAACAATTTCCAGGTGAGTGGTTTCAGTAATCATAGTATCATGCCCTTTAACTCATAAATATGAGGAAAAATCGTATTTCTAGAACTCGATATTTCAGAAAACTGAAGGACAAACGCAAATTGTTGTGATGTGACTTGTTCAATTGTGAATCTGTGAGGGTAATGTTTTTTGTGCAACTAATGTAGAAATTATATACTGATTAAGTGCTTTCACTGACGGAAGGCACAAAAAAAACACTGGGATTTTTTTAAACAGCTGCCAGGATTTTGTTTTTGTTCTACCGTCTGATTTAGTTTTAATATTTTCGATAGACGTCATATATGGATGATGAACTTCCCTATTTATTATCAATTGAATTGTTTTTCAGTGTAACAGTGGCCAATGCCTCAAGAGACACCTCGTATGCGACGGTATCCTCAATTGCAATGACGGAAGCGACGAAAGCAATTGCGGTAAGTATTGTAACGATTATTTCCTTCAAACCTATAAAATGATGAGAAAATTAAAGGCTATGCCACAGAAACAGAGTTTTACAGCAATAAAACATTTCTTCTCAACAGTGATGAAACTGACAGCTATGAAATTAACATCCAGCACTGTGATCACAGAATAGTAAACAATTGTTTACTATCTGTGCTGTGATCTAGCTGTCATTATTCTTTATTCATACATGACTCTCGAGGCCTAGTTATGCATCATTCTTACAATTTCAACCATTGTCACTGTCCTGATCAAATTGAACCAATGAAATCAAATATTAAAACTTTGCAAAACTGCTTCTATATATATTCACAGGTTTAATGTGATATTATGATTATGACAGTTACTAGAGCCTAATTCTACTAATTACAATTTGAATGGAAACGTTATTCTAAATTTCAATGAAATCGAAAAGAATACGCGACGTATTGGTGATGCATCTAGGCGCGTCAAATACGATAGATAAAACAAAGTTTTCGTTGAAAATGGAAATTTATCGAAAATGTTTGAAGTCTTATTACTATCGGTATTACTATTGAAAAAAACATTTGTTTTTATCCCCACACCATAACCATAGTAAAAGCAACCAGTAAGTGCACTCCCACTACTTTCATTCATAAATTTACAAAGTTCTCGGTGACCTCGAAATAAAGTGCGGAGCCAATTTAGTTCTTCTACCCTAGGCGTGCGCTCATATAAAATCGAAATTTAAAGATATTATAAAAGATTTTGTGACAAGTTACTTATGACCAACTACAAAAACTAAAAACAATAATAGCAGCTGCGAATAAACTAAAAACAATATTAATTTCCGACCGTTTATTATAACTAATAATATAATAACGAATCCTTCGATACTACAGCACTGAAAGCATTGGATGAGAATCTCATCCTAAGAATGGTTGAAGGTCCCCGACAACTCGGGCGGTTCACGTGGTAAGAGAGCCTACTTGTATTATTCTACTGTGTCATAACTAACACAAATTATATGCTCAAGCTTCATATGGTCACAATCAACGTCACAATATTTGTATATATACTATTAAAAATCGATATCAAACATGTGTCATCTATTAGCCAAAGACACGGACGTATTTTTCATCCATTATCTAAATAGTTCATAATTAAAAAAATATATTTCGAGTCAGAAATCTCAAAATTGATTTTTATCTGGAATTGCAATTATTTCACTCTTGAACAACCTATGAATTACCCCTCCTCTCACGTACTCGATTTTTTTCATAGAAAATTGGACATGCAACTTCGACGAATTATCCTGCGGACCTTCTAACCGATGCATCCCGATCTCCTGGAAATGCGACGGCCGATCTCACTGCAATGACGGTTCTGACGAACGCAATTGCCATCCAGGAGAATGTTCCGGCGACGCTTTCCGGTGTTCCGAACAAGGAAGCTGCGTACCGGCCACGTGGATGTGCGACGGCAAGCCCGACTGCGCAGGTGGAGAAGACGAGAAGATGTGTGGTGAGTTTAGTAGTAATATAATAAATTACAAAGGCCTACAAGCACCAGAAATGATTTAGGAATAAATGTCGAGTTTGGAGTAGGAATTAATGAAAATAATGTTTTTGCTAATTCATTAATTCTTAAATTAAGTTCACGTCATCCCATTTCTATAAGGCTTTGCTGATTGATTTTGAACCTTTCCATGCAATAATACTGACTTTTATTTGAAAATCTCATTTGATTCGATGACAGGTTGCATAACTTGAGTTGTGAGCAAAAATTTTAAAAATATGTAATATCATTTATCATTTTCATGCAGCGAATTGAGGATGCTGATGGTAAGGTCCAATATCATTTCATTTTTCTCTTGGGATGTCAACTGCTACATTCGAACAACATGCAACGTGCATTGGAAGACCTCGATTAGAGGATTCGGATGAATCCAGATAAAACTCAGGCGATAGACTTGGGGAGACATAAAGTTCCTCCAGATTCGAGGGTAACAAGTCAGGCAGGGAGATCGAATGACAGCCACGAGTCAAGTACCTGGGTCTTTTGATAGATCGTCGACTCACCTGGATACATCACATTGAGAACATCAAGAGCAAAGTCCAAACGAGGATAGCCAAACTCTATCCTCTGATAAATAGAAAGTCAAAGCTCAACCTTAAGAGTAAGGTTTTATTATACAATACGCAAGCCTGTCATTATGTATGCTTCGGGCGCTTGAGGACAAACCGCTCCGACTAATCTTTCCACTCTGGAAAGATTGCAAAATAAGATCTTAGGGATGCTGGTGAATGTTGCATGGTTGGTGCGGAATGAAGCCAATCGCAGATATTTGAAGCTGTTGAGTATGCAGTAGTCTATTCAGTCGAGGAATCAGAGNATGGACAAAATAATAAAAACAACGTGTAAAATCTTATATAAAAAAATGATGAAATTTATAAAATAAATGAAAATAGAACAAAATAATATACCGCAAATTTGACTGTGCTATTTACTATTGATTTAACCTGTTAGACAACTACAAATGCACCAACTCAGTACAAAATTCTTTCAGTTTTACTTTTGCTTCAGGGAGAGTGATGTTCTTTTTTGTAATTGTAATATGAATTATAGCTAAACAACCCGCACTAGAAACCCAACAATATATAACCTCTTTGCAAATAGGAAGTGAACTCAGACAAAATAATTTGTGAAATCTCTCTCAATATCAACTGGTTAGTAAAAAAAAAACAAACACTCACATAACGCCTCTTTGGTAGGTAGTTCATAGTCAACCATAGGCTCCGTTGACCCGGTGTGTCTTCAACACCAACACGTACTTTCAACTTCCTTGTACCCATTACCAGTTTACGATTTCACTACCGATTTTCCTTAAATATCGCACCACGCCCTTAGAAACAAAATAACTCCTCTATTTCGGCCAACTTCCTCAGCCTCGAAGGCTGGGGATGAGACCCCCGATCTCATGTCGACGGGCTTCGGTGACCGACTTTTTCGTGTCTCTCGCAAAAACTCCCAAGCCCTCAAAGCCACAAAAACCTCATCTAAGCGTTTTTAATTTTCCCAAGTGTATGATCATCGGTAGGATGTAATATATACATTTGTTTAGTCTAGCCTAACTTGTACATGACCACAACGACGATCAAAGGTACGACAGTCATAAAGTAGTTGAAACGCTTTTTCATCTGGAAAAATATCGACACTGAAGAACCGGGTGATCGACCTCGATCTCTATGAATAAAATGATATTTTACGTTAATCATCTCAATGACAGTTATTACAAACGACATATGCAGCCAGGTTACTTACCACTATTCCAACACCAAACCATTATTTTCAACCCCTCGACACGTGTTTTTCAATACCTCGACACGTGTTTTTCAATCACCAAGTGATCATATCTTCAAGAGGAAGAATAAACATGGTGATTGGTTATTGAAACACGTGTTGGGGTGTTGAAAATAACGGTTTGGTGTTGGGATAGAACTCCAGTAATATTCATTACTCCACCAAAGGTTCCAAACAGTGCATCACAGGTAGTAACCTCCAATGAAACGGAAAAGCAGTTTGAGTCTAGTAAACCAAAATCGAGTAGTGGTGGGGGAGAAAGGGGAGAAATTGCGGTTATCACATTAAGAAAATTGTGAATATCAACAATAGAAAAATCATGAAGTAACTTTGCGCACACTCATGGCAAGATTTACCTTGTACAGTATCAAAGGTGAAGATTTGATAATTGTGTTGTAATTGTGACTAAAATCAAATGACACAGTGAGTTCTATCTTATTGTAATATTACAATTTGTTCGCAGATTGCAGTAATGATCAATTTAAATGTCAGCTAGGAGGAGGGTGCATTTCAAAAACAAACCGTTGTGACGGTTACAAAGACTGCGCAGACAATTCAGATGAGTGGAACTGCCTGAGGCTAGAAACGTTGGAAAATCCGGTGGAAGGAAACACAAAAAAAATATTACAGGTAATTTATATTTTTGGTTACTGTATAATTTTGACCTACTTCTTACAGTAGTTTTCATGTACAGTTTCAGTAGTTCTTATGTAATATTCCAGTAGTTCTAATGTATTATTTATTATTTCTATTTCACATCCTGACATTTACGTCACTCATACCAAGTATATAGGGTGCTCACATATGCTTTATTAACGTCAGATACAACGTCGTAATTTTAAAAGTGTTGCATATTTCCATGTGAAAATTTTGAGATTTGATTCGTCACATGATGCTATAAAGCAGTAGCCAAGATGTTGTGTGATTCACAAGAAGAACATATGTAAAAGTGACTTCATGCCCAGTCCATATACGAGTATTATCATTATAACGTCTATGGATAGTTCACAATGTTCGCATATACTTACTAGAGTTATGAATTACAATTTTATTTCAGTTTCAAGCAGAAAATAATACTTGGCACCCAGTATGCATAGATTGGGGTATTTGGAATTCCACATTTGCAGACCTCACCTGTCAAAATTTGGGTTATTCGGGCTCTGCTTCTCTAGAAGCAGTTCCAAAACCGGACAGTTTCAAACCTGAACAGGTTTACAAACTCAAGACACCAACAAGTAACGTTTTGACCTTCTTACAACTGGAAAAGAGTAGAGATGATTGCGATCAATTTGTCTCGTTGACATGTCAGGAATACGGTAAGAACAAACACCTTTGCATACATTTCATTGTGAATCGCTTTCTAGTCCACACTTATTTGAGTTTTCATACATGATAAGCAAATGTTAACAAACACCCTTTATAGGCAATTAGAGGAATATGAAAAATTAAAATTATTTCAGTGTGTGGAAGCCCTTNATTGGACCTCTTGTGTTGCCCAGTGGCGGCTGCTGCTAACGCAGTTTTCGATACATTGTGGTCATTTACTCACAATAGGAATCTGCTCTAATGATTTGGCCCGCTTGCAGAAAGTTACAGTGAAGCACACCAGTCGCTGGCCACCATACAGTAACCATGGTCATTTCTTCGTGGGTTTTTACATACATTATGTTAATCACTATGAAAAAGCTACTGTGATAGCGAAAGATGAAATATCTTTTGAAATAAATTTTTTGAAAATCAAATCATTTCCGGAGTAGTTTGTGAAACAAAATGTTTTGATAGTTCGATAAATTATATATTTATTTCAGAACCAACTATGGAGCAATACCTACATTATTTGCCAGTACCTATGATCGAAACCGAAGATTGCAACTCCACCAAACATTACAATGGCAAAATGAATTCTGATAAGATATGTGCAGGATATATGGACTCTGAAAAAACACCATGCTATGTAAGTACATCCAATAAATCCATTTTCAATCATACGATACAAATTCTTGACATTATTCTCATTATTTCAATATGAAAGTATCACATTTCAGTCTTTTTTCGTTTTTGTTTTGTACTTCTCCATCAGTCATAATAATAATATGCTTTCATGTATTAAGGTAGCTCAAATAAAGAGTAAAGATATATCTGCACAAATATAGGCATGCATTAAACAATTTTATCCAAACACATACAATAATAGGGATACTGAAGCTGTTGAACTTGTAAGTGCGGTAACAGGCAAGGACAGAATTGAATTTTTCAATGTTTCCTGATGATATGAACCATTATGATGATAAAAATGGCAATAACAGTATGGATTTCGAGGGATTCAAATGAAGGTTCACAAGAATCACGAGGTTTTGAATTTGACATATATCTAATTGCTCATTTTAAAGCACTAATTGCTGTGTATTTATACTTCATGCAATAATATATTTGTATTTATACAAATAATGTAACAGAACTATGATAAATGAAATGTGAATAATATTCATTTGAACAGACTGCATTCAAATAAAGGGAAAAAATTCAATAATAGTATATGTCAGTGGGAGAGTTTTTTAAAAAATGTTCGAAAAATGATGATTTTCATGTACCTCCTGAAGTTTCAAATTTTCTTAAAGTTACATACACTATAGCTACAGGACTTCGGCTTTGTGTTACAATATTTCAGATATTCTGCTCAAAATTTCGTTTATGAAATTTTTTATTGTCCTTGATGTAAAAAAAATATCTCGATAGTAATCAAAGCTTTCCTTACACCACACTTCAACAACTCGTTACTGGATTTCTGTAGAAATTTTTAAATTCCTTTTTTCTTTCAGAACGATGAAGGAGCCCCGCTGATGTGTTTCTCGGACACAACGGCATTGTGGGAGCTTCACGGTTTGCTCAGCCATCACGATAATTGTGGCAGCAACAAACATCCTGCTGTTTACACGACAGTCAACTCTAATTTGAGATTGTGGATTGCCAATACCATAGGCAGACAGGCGTTGAACGTACCATAAATTGATTCAGCGGAGTAAAATGGCGAACAAAACTATTTTTATAAAACACGAAGAGTATATATAACTGTAGATAATGATCAATATGATTGATGTTTTTAAATAGTTTTTCAATCAGCTTCTGTTATGTATTCTAATGAACAAATTACTGTTATTATTTACTTGTTATCGTCTAGCGCCAGGATGATTGATTTAATGTAGCACCAAAGAAAATTTTTTGACCTGATTTATCGGTGCATAGGCCGCTTTATTTGTCACATCTGTGTCCTATCGACCGCATTTGTTAGCAAAATTCGTCAGTTTTATGCCGAAAACAATGTAAATTCCTCATTTGTTCTGATTCGGTGCCATATTTTAGCACACTCTTTGATACTGATGATAAATTTTGCAAAATGAATTTGTAAATGTACGATTTATGGTGCTACTTTTGTTGACTGGTTGTAGAGGTACATGATTGGTGGATTTGAGACAGACATCTGAATTTTCCATAAAAGACTTGAAATGGCTAAAGTGGCTATTTTGTTATTTTCCAAATAATAACTTTCAATACATTATTCTGTCAATTTTAATAATTGATTCAGAAATATAATAAAAACAACAATAAAAAACTTTCAATTGTACTTTAATCATGATTATATTTTGTTGCTGCCAATACTTTAAAGAATGTTAACAAATATTGATATTTTCCAGGCTAAATTCTCTCATTTCGAATTCATCAATGATGCGGTCCTTCTCAGATTGGAAAAACCATTACAAATCAACCAAAATGTGAGCGCTCTCTGTCTACCTGGGGAGGAAATACAACCAAGGCAGCTTTGCATCGTAGCAGGTTGGGGAGCTAGCAAACCTGGAGGTAAAGTTTCTAATTTTAACTAGGGCGGTTCCAGAAATGCTATTATAGGGTTTCATCAAGCTCTTCATTAAGACAACTTTTGGTGTTGATACTACTATGATGGTTTTTTATTCAATTTTTTCTGTTTTTATTCCATTTTTTCTGTTTTTATTCAATTTTTTCTGTGTTTTTCCATGTTTGGCTTGTAATTGGAAGTTATGTTAGTAGGGTGGAGTTTTCACAATATTCATTATGTTTTTTTAATAATGAAATCGTTGAAAAAGATTATTCTATTTCCAACACTACTTCTAGAAAATGATCATTTGACTAAAAACATGTTTATATAAGTAGTCTTACGTTCATCAACCTAAAAAGTAATTTTTGAATGTCGTACAGTATCTCAACAAACCTAATGATTAACAAAATATATTTTTTATGTTCAAAATAGGTACTGGAAATAGTTCGAGAATAATCTCAACTTTTATTATTAATCAAAGCAAAACCCAATAGAACAAACAACAACCAAAAGTTTTTTCTGATTGACTTGGCCGTTACTTGATGAATATCCATAGTAATGGAAAACAGTATGTTAATCACTATGAAAAAGCTTTCAATATTTTTGTTCAAACGTTCTCTGAGTTGGAATATCCATAATAGATAGATAGATATTCATTTATTTCTACAGAGTATATGTAAATCTTGTATAAAAGTTAAAAGAAATACTTTGTCCAAAAAATACGTCAGTGAACAAAATTACAAAAGAGTAATGAGATACAAAATTTGAATAAAACACGTCACATACAAATATAAGTATAGAGTTGATAAAATAAAATTTTACATAAACTGTTGAAATATTCATCTGTAGTATAAGGCTCTATATTGCATAAAAATTATTTCACCGACTTCAGAAAACCGCTGGCCATCCCAAAGTCTCTTATATCCTGTGGGAGAGAGTTAAAAAATTCAATTGCACTGTAGACAATACTTCTTTCATATAGAGATTTTTTATGTATCGGATATAAAAAATCATTCCTAAATCTTGTTCCATACTTATTTGTTTTATGATGCTTCTCAAAGTAGCTTGGTTTTAAAATGACTCAAAAATGTATATCGCTGGTACTGTTAATAATATGTTCATTTTAAAGATTCCTCTACATGAGTCTTTGACCTTCGTATCAAAAAGTATTCTGATTACCCTATTTTGGCAGAGAAATACTCTGTTCAGCTCATGACTGGAGCCCCAAATGATAATACCAAACCTTATTGCAGAGTAAAAATTAGCATAGTAGACAGTCATCAGAACATCACTGTCCACGTTTTTTTTGAGAATTCTCATAGCATATGTAGTTGAGCAAAGTTTTCTGCAGAGATTGTCTATTTGATTTACTCAACTTAAGGTGTCATCGATATATATACCCAAAAACTTCACAGAGGTGTTCCAGGTCACTGGAATCATTGAAAGTGATGCTCTTCAGTGTCTCCATGCTGTTATCAATTTTGAACATGATGCAATCTGTTTTTTTATCATTTGAAATCAATTTATTTTCCAGAAAAAAGTTTTTTGTCCTTTCTATTACATATCCCATAGGCGTCTCCAAAGCCTCTGATCGTGCTGCTGTATCTTTCAAGTTCAGTTCTACGATTTGCTTTCTGTTTTTTAGATACGACTTGAACCAGTCATAGGAGTTCCTTCGAATTCCATATGTGTAAAGTTTGCCTAGTAAGTCCATGAAAATCCCACAGGATAGATCCCCTCTTTCCATTGCTTCCAGAATTTCATTACTGAAATTAACAAGAGCTATCTCAATAGATTTCTTTTTCAAATAGGCATGTTGGTGACGAGAAAACATTAAAGTTTGAGCCATTGCGTTTTTGAGTATTTTTGATTTAATAATAATTATACAATTTTCACATCAAGTTTTATTCAAAACTCATATCATTTCAAGGAAGTTTCATCAGTTGGACTAGTGGTGAAACTAATATGTCGTTAATTAGGTCTTGAACAAATTTCATAGTGTGAAAATTGTATTATTATTATCATTGATAGTGGTAATAATTTCCTCAAGCAACGAGTCAGTGTATTCATAATCCTGAGTTAGAATTTGCGAGTTAAAAATCGAAATATATAATTTTATGTTATGAACTCGAAATAGAAAAAATTAAAAATAACTTTTGTGCCACTTATACGTCTTCTAACCTTCATGTACCTCTGCTTGAATTTTTATTGAATGTATAGCGCTGTTAAGAATATTATAATGTTATTTTATGCGGTATTTTTAGAACTTACCTACTAAATGATTATTTTATCGGAGATAAAGTTAACTATGAATTAGATATTTATGCAGTTTCGTAGATCGATTGGGGCAGTGCTCCCAATTCGTCTTTGAAACATTGTTGCTCAATTCACACTATCTTCCACTTTCTCTCCGCCCTCAAACTTGTTTCGTGTATGAATTATCTCCAAAGAGGTAGAATCTTTTCGACAATCGACATGAAAGTGTGTTCTGTGAAACCTTGCAAACTATTGCATTTCACCGTTCACTGTGTTTTTTCTTCAGGCTGTTGATATCTTGTGGAACAGTTTGACAGGAAAGCGAGTTGGACACTAGTCAAAAAATACTTTGCACCAACTTAGTCGAACTGTTTGAATTCTTTTCATCTTTGGTAATGTAAATATTGTATATTTTAAACTTTACCGTAACTTTAATAAATCTTCTGTTGCAAATAAAGCAAATAAAGCTGTACCAGGTATACTAGAAATATCAGAAGTGTAAAATAAACCGTCCTATCTTTTATATTTTGTAATTTTACTAGTCACAAAGTTTTCTGCCAAAGGGCAAGCGTGAGTGACACGAACCATGTATATATTTTAAAATTTTGAATGTACTTGAAATTAAAATATTTTATAGATTATTGAATTTTTTACTTTTATGATTCATCCCCGAGAAAACTGGATTGTGTAATAAGAAGAATATTTCTCGGCAGAATCAGTCTATATCGAAATAAAATCAAGTATAATATATATTCATTTCAGTTATAGAAGAATGACATACGTTTCTGCCATCTTTCCATCTTTAGATTTTAGACTACAAAGTTACAAATACAGAAATATAAGGTTCTAAGGTGGAAAAAAGGAAAAAACGTACGTCATTGAATATTCTGTCAAGAAAGTACCGGAAGTTGACCATTTCGAAAGCCGGCGTGAATAATTGTCGAAATTATTTTTGTAGCTAGGCAGGCACAACTCTCTTCTATAACTAACACAGAGTTTGAGCCCCATCCTTCATTCAGTTTGTTTACGGTACCCAATTTGTTAATTAACCTTAGTTAGTTCGAAAGGATATAGCTGCTAAAATTACTATGTCTCACAAATCAGTTCATACCATTTTAAACAACTTTTTTAGGAATGATACCCCTTTCCGGTCGACTAGTACCAAAAGACCTTAATTTTCTGCAAAATTTCAATCTCGTAAAGGTCGCTGGAAACATGTTAGAACAAGTCAATTTCGACCCCACATTCATACAACATATTATAACTGATGTTGAGACATGTGATCACTAGATTCAAGATGATGCCTTCCAACTGAACCTAAACTGCATAATGTTGCTTCAAAGTCGATCAAAGGGAAGGTGTAACGATTTTTTTTTATTACCGCGGTGTTATGCAAACGGAATTCTCGCTAGAAGGTGAGACAGAAAATAAGAATATTATCTGAGCGTTATGTGGCGTTTGAGAGAGCAAATTCATCTGGAAAGACCAGATATTTGGAAAAATAAATTATTCATTTTGCACAACGATAACGCATTACCTGACAAGGCTATCATTGTGACAGATTTCTGGCCCAAATCTCATCGAAGTTTCACCTTATTCACTTGATATGGCAACGGCCGATTTTTTCTCCAAAACTCAAATTGCCACTTCGAGGCACCCATTTTCAGTCGACAGATGACGTAAAAGAAAATTCACAGGGAGTAATGAAGACGATACTAAAAAAAAAGCGTTTGGAATATGTTTTGATGATTGGGTTGTTCATTGGCGTAAGGGCCTCCTTTGAAGACACATCAATTTTTGGATGTTAGGCAATTCCGAAAAGGCTATAGGGTTCGTGCGATCGCATGAAAGCCGTTGTTTTTGAAATCTGACCATTTAGTTTACCTCCTTATAGTTCTCTCTCATTATATGATTCCAGCTGAATGTGCTCTAACTGAATTTTAATCTTAGTTAAAATACTTTTCACTTGCTATTCTCTTCTTGATAGATTGACTAAGAAGTCTCTATTTTTTTTTTGTTTTCTAAATTTCATCTTACTCTACGGGGATGGTATTTTTCTCAGTCCAAGAGGAAATGAAAGTCCAAGGTTTCAAATATGAAGTATAATGAGTAGAACAACGACTCCATGGACAAAAAAAACAATGTGTAAAATCTTACACGTTATTTAAATTCTATAAAATAAAAAAAAAATAGAACAAATAAAATGCCGCGAATTTCACTGTGCTGTTTACCTCTTAAACAACTACAAACGCACCAACTCGGTACAAAATACTTTCAGTTTTACTTTCACTTTAGGAAGAGTGGTGTATGAGCTTAAATTTGCTTCCATTTTTGTAATTGTAATCTGAACTCTAGCTAAACAACCCACACTAGGGACCCAACAATATATAACCTCTTTGCAAATAGGAAGTGAACTCAGATTAGAGTAAGTGGTTTGTGACTCAGACAAAATAATATGTAAAGTCTCTTTCTCAATATTAACTGGTCGGTATAAAAAAAAACACTTACATAACGCCTCGTTGGTGGGTTCATGGTCATCAACCATAGTTTCCGTTGACCCGGTGTGTCTTCAACACCAGCACTTTTATTTTTAACTTTCCTTTACCCAATACCGGCTCACTATCCTTAACCTCGAAGGCTGAGGGATGAAACCCCCGAACCCGCCTCCACGAGCTCTCGCAAGATCCCTCGACCTCTCTGCTTTTCAAAACGCCAGGAAGAAATCACCGGGTGCCTCGTCCCCCCCGTTTCTCAAAACTCACGGTTTCAAGGCTGAGAAATTGATGTGTCCATATCTACATCCTGGGCGGTTTTTAGCTACGTTACAAAGATATCTGACTTTGCATCTTTCCAAAACACGCCGATGAATTTTGTTTATTTAAACACTCTCTCGGTCTAGCCATGATGTTACATTGTATGAGACACAGAACCGGAGTTTAAAAAAATTCTGAATTGAAGAAATCTGTCTCTTCCCGAAGCTAGAATGCATATTAAATTACATAACTTTGCTAGGTATTACATAGGGATCTCAATCTGCCACTTTCCGGGTCTCTTCATTTGTCTTCGCAAGGCCCTAACCTACCTACTTCCAAGCGTGGTATGTGGGTCCTCAACGAGGACCTCGTTCCTTCTACAAGTGTGACTTGCAGAAGCATGGTGTAATGTTGGGAGAGGTACGGCGTGACAGTAAGTAATGATTTTCATGAATGCGACAATCTTTGTAAATCATCTCATTTGTTAAGGTGATTGGGAGATTTTTCAATTCCAATAAATTCGCAGATTATATCCTGGCCTGGAATGTTTTTTCGGTGGCAATGGTTTTAGTGTTTTTAAAGCTTATTGTGTGGCCTGTTTCGAGATGGTGTTTGAAAAGTGATGAGGTTGGATCTGATTCACGGACATCGTACTTATGTTCATATAATCTCTGTTGAAGATCGGCCAGTAGCGGATTTAAGCTTGATGCCGCCGTAGGCCGTTTATCGCGCTGCCCTTGATGTTACGATAAATGTTATTAGATAATTTGGATTCAATAGTATTATTTAAAATAACTTTATTTCGTATAATATATACATATTTGTAATTATAATTAATAAACATTACAGATACATAAGTAAGAAAGATTAGACAAATAAATATTTTTTTTTATCAATCAATATAGAAGCCTCTGTTTCCTGACTTTGTTCCACGCGAAAATATCAATTATATCATCATGATCAATTTCTTGAATTAGTTGAGTTTCTACATATAGTAATGTAAGAGCATTAAGTCTATCTTGACCCATACTTGAACGTAAATAGGTTTTAACTCTATTCAAAGTAGAAAAAGAACTTTCTTCTGAACAATTTGTAGCCGAAATACGTAAAGCAATTTCCACATTTTTGTAAACATCTCGAAGACTTCGTGAATGTTATACGTTGCATATATTTTTTGCCGAGTGTACATCTTTCGTATTTGCTGAAGAATCTTCAAGTTGACAATGTAAATGATTACATTCTTTCCCTAATGTCTCTTCTAAATCGTCATATGCACTTTTATGCCCGGCCAATTGCACCCTTAAAGTATCTAAAATAGGGTAATAAACATTTATGCGAAATTGGTTAAGGCTTTCGCGGCCAAGATTTTCAGTGTTACAATATTCGTTCGGGTTTGAAGGCCGTCGTAGTTTGGAAGTGCATCCTAACGTTTCGCCAGCACGAGTGGCTGTCTTCTTCAGAGGTTTATTCAACTTGGTGATTCACCGATGACTGTTAATTTCTAATTCTAGTTAGTAGGTTGTATTTATATGTTGACTCAGGAAGTCCACCTTTCTTGTTAATGCGTTGCTATCACAAACTACTTACCTATAGTAGGTGGTTTGTGGTTGCTATTGTCCGAAGTCTTATTACCTGTTAATGACGTAACAATTGCATTGTGCTGTTGCCACTTTAGCATCTTTTAGTATGAGATTCCAAATCCGGTTAAGCATTACCGCCTCCTCTTTTCCATTGTAGTTTTCCGTATGTTTATGGATTTCTATGGCTTCCCGTACAAGCCGACTGTGGCATCCATGATCGGGGGCAAGTATTTCACATCTTCAAACAGTATCGTGTGATCTCCTTCACTAAGCGCGTGTTCTGCTAATGCCGATTTGTCTGTTTGGCCTAATCTATAGTTTCTCCGATGTTCATTCAGCCTGTACCCATGGATCTATTGGTGGTACAGTTATAAACTTTCCCGCAGGTGCATGGTTTACGGTATACCACAGCTGATAGTGGATCTCTTTCGTCTTTCGCAGATATAAGGCTTCGTTGTATTTTCCTGGTGGGCTCGAACACTGTTTTTATTTTATGCTTTCCTGAGATTTTTTCGATGTTTGTAACCTTGGGGATGTATGGTAGAAATACACGTGTAACCGTTTGAGTTTCCTCCCAATTTTGACTTGTGGAATTCTTCAATTTCATGGCTTTGTTGATCTTGGTTACACTGTATCCATTCGATCTTAAAGCCACTTGAAGATGCTCCAATTCTTCTTGTATGTGTTCCGGTTCACATATTCTATGGGCACGTTCCGTCAAGGTGTTGATAATTCCCCACGTTTGACTTGGATGGTGGTTCGAAAATCCATGCAAATATTTGTCCGTATGTGTCGGTTTTCGGTATACTTTATGTGTCAGTCGTGTGCCACGCCTTTCGATGATTACATCTAGCGCTATCCGTTATTCCTATTCAGTCCGAGTATTGTGAAATGTTCCTATAAACAGGAGGTGGGGGTTGGAAATTTATTCTCGAAATTAATTGATCTGCTCGGGATTCTTATCTGGGAAGCCCGAAGTGCAAGAATTCTGCGAACCTGCAATTTAATGAGGAAAGTGAATTTTTTTATACCCAATTGATGGGAGCTGAAATTGTTTTTGTCGGAAATGATTATTCTTGTTGAGATTATTTGGGAGGCCCGACCTGCAAAGGGGATGAATGATCCTTCCTCTGTTTCGAAGTCTCTTTCAAGCTTAGGTATGTATATGGCATCTCCAACTTCCTTGGCATTTCAACTATGCTAATTTGATCAGACATTACTGTTATTTATCGCGTTCATGTATCTGGTGTTGAATCTGTTGTTGAATCATAAATTCGTTGTTTTGGTTCTAAGTTTACAAAAAGTTGCTTTACAGTGAAATCTGCAGTGAATGTCGGGACAAATCTCGTCGACGGTCGATGTAGAAGTTTGGCTTTGCAACTGACCGCCCTTACCAAAACATGTGCTATACATTTGGGGTAATGCTATAGCATTACTCCAAATACATTCTAAAATGTAAGAAATGATTTCGAAAATAGACTGTTTTACTGTCAGGGGTTCAAGGAGAACATTTTGGAAATTTGCTCAAATGATTTTTTTATGTATAAAATAAATAATAATGAGGTTGAAATGAAATGCCATCGTTTTATGTCCTTGAAATTATCACTTATCTAATGCAAAAGATGTTATTTACTTATTTCTCTTTCCAATGAACATTTATTTCAAAAAATCTGACACAGAGTGGAGAAATTACGAGATTCTTAGTCCCAAATTCAAACATAAATAACTCCGCTACCGTTTATCAAAATTTAAGAGTGAAGATCATTTGCATTTGCAAAAAAAGCTGATAACGCACTATCGCTGGCACGTGATGTCACACTATTAGCTTTTTTGTTAAAATGTACTGAAAATCATTCTTTTTTACACAAATTTTGTCCGACTCGGATATCTTGCCCCATTTGAAAGTTAAAAAGGGGATTATTTACGTCCGCACCACTCCGCACTGTATGATTTATTATCAAAGAGTTTGACAGTTCTTTCTGCAATGTTTCTGCTCTTTTCCAGACATCTTGTGGTAACCAAAAAACTATTTGTACGAATCTATTGAACACTAGGGGGCGCCCTAAAACTGTTCGTAATTTGTAGGTTCCTAGATTGTCTCTTCGAAAAGATCCGTTCGTATATATGACACTATCGAAATTTCGAACTATGTTTCGGAATAATTTTATTATCGGTAATGAACTTTTTTGATCATTATTAAGTCTATTTCGTGTCATCGTGTATTTTCTTCGATCAGATGAATGAACCTATATGAAAATTATTAGAAACATCTAAATTATTATTACCAACTGTCGGTTCGGTGTACACTGAATGAAATTAAAGCGGAATGAACAAGCGAATTTCCAGTTTCCAGATAGTTATGGCGATTTTGTGGGAAAGAAGACGGTACAACGGCAAGGTGTGTTAAATAATCGAAATATTTTGGAACATCTTAAGAAAAATAGGTAATGTACAGTTCAGTCACCGAAATTTTGAGATTATTTTTTGAATGTATTTGAAATTCGTGCCCGTAACCTTTAGACAGTGACATTTTATTGACAATATTGACATTTTGTCAAGTAATTGTCATATCAAATGCCAAAAGACATTCAAAAACATAATTCAAACATGAATTACTCAAAAATAAGTTATATTCATCTTTGGCCATAAGTAAAAGGGCGCACTTATCTCTACCCACGCCCAAATCTTTGTTTCATGATGACGTCACCATTTTTTTCTGTGGTAAAAATATCGGGAAATAGGACATTTTATGCAATACTGTGGTCCAAGACATTTAATACATATTTTGTTATGTTTCAACAGGATATTGCTTGAGTGGATATTTGTCTCAACTGAAAGTATATCCTTATGGCATCCAATCAGTACACAATCAGGGAAGTCGTTGGTAAGTTTAATGAAATTTGTTTTAATAGTCCAGTCAAAATAGACATTTTATGTTAAAATTATTCACTTTGGGCTGATATTATTAGGTATATGTATTGAATGCACTGTATCAATGAAATATCAAAAGTCCTACTGATCCCATGTTAATTATAAAGTTGTAGATCATGTAACTCTCTATTTTGTTGTTATACTTTTGTTGTTGTTGTTATGTAGTTATACTTTTGTTGTTGTTGTTATGTTGTTATACTGTTCTTATACTTTTTTCCTATATACCACTATTCCTGAGATATCACCATTTCAAAAGTTGAAGAATTTTATTTATCATAATACTTTTCATAATATGCATGCATTTTTGCATCAGCTGTGAGATATTATAATTGATTGATACATTCAACATGCTATCCCCAGTAGTTATTCTCCACAGTGTTAACATGTTAACAACCGCAAATTATTTGATATTTTACTATACTACTGAAAATAATTCCATACAAACAAAAAATATTCAACACTCTTTTATTCATTTTTTTCCATTTTTTATAACAGATACAAATTTCAAAATTTCTTGGGTCAGTGACAGCTGTGAATATTTCAATTTGGCGGGTTCTCATTTTCGTTTTGACCTGCCCTTAGTTATTAGTTGAATGTTGTCCAACTTTCAGGCATAGTTCTCAGCCGTAGTTAAGTTTTCATAAACGCTCTCTTTGATTTGTTGTGGTTGAACTCAGTCTTTGGAGGTAAAAACCCCTATAAATTATGTAAAAACAAAGACACATCAGTTATTTTGTTATCGTTATAATAATAATTCTTAAATATTGTATTTGTCCCAATAGGTATTGTTATGACTGATCTAGTGAGTTTATAGTATGTTTTTCATAAATTTATATTGACTTCAGAGCAGATGGAATTAAAGTTTGAATGGACTCTAATATGTTGTCAATTAATTTCCAACCCCCTAGTCTTCTGTGTTCAGTTCATTACCATAGTTGAACTTTAAAGTATACACGATATAAGTGTTGATTCGCAGAAGCAGATATTGTCTGAACAAAAGAAAATTGTATTGTTTTGTGTTTTTTACAAAAGTTAATTAAATAGACTTGTCTTTACAATCAATAGCTTGTCTCAGTCTCATTCTTTTGGTGTACCACATAAAGCGAGAAAAATTATGGAGAAGAGTTGATATTTTTGCTGACTCAGTTGAATCATTATGTTTTTCAGACAATCAAAAAATGCTGGCATGGTTTAGAAAGAAAGGAAAAAAAAAGCAATTAATTTCAAAATAAACTCTTTACAAAGATGTGTACATCATTCAAAGAAGTAACTGTCAGATACATACTGGAGGAAAAAGCCCTCTCGAATTAACTACTTTCTAATCAACATTGAATCACATGAAAGAAAAACTCCTTTGAAACAACTTTTATATTAACATTGAATTATATAAAAAAATAATTGTTATTTTGAAGGAAATTACATAAACTGGTCAAGAACGGCATTAGATGATGATACTTCTGTAGTCTGGCAACTTTGTTCTGCAGCTTCAATAATTTTCTAATAATCAGTATAATCTTCAAATAATGTCACTCTTGGAACAAAATAAAGATATGTTTATTTTTGATTCCGCACAATTTCATCATAGATGATGATACTTCTGTAGTCTGGCAACTTTGTTCTGCAGCTTCAATAATTTTTTAATAATCAGTATAATCTTCAAATAATGTCACTCTTGGAACAAAATAAAGATATGTTTATTTTTGATTCCGCACAATTTCATCAAAGAGTTATAATGTGTATGGGGCTAGTTCATATTCAAACTGTTTTCTCACCTTCATCCTTCAAATGTAATACAAGGTTCTACTCTACAGTTACCTTTTCATCATAGATCTGTTAGTTCCGCTTATTTTTATTTATATTGAATATCCGATGATGCATATAAGTTGTGGAGAAGTGCATATTCGATTGAAGATGTCATGGGAATAGTGATTTGTTTTAAAAAATAAAGGAACAATTTTCATACTACTTTTCTATGTACTGCTTTTATTTGATTGATTTAAACAAATTGATTTTGGTAAAGGTTTTGATCATGTTAATGATAAACTATTGGTACAGAAGTTGGTTTCGTTAGGTTTTCCCAATTTTATTACTCACTGGATAAGCGAATATTTCAAGAACTGGTCAAAGGTAGTCAAAATCAAAAACTTTGAGTCAAAACGAATCCTGGAACCATCTGGAATGCCACAGAGCTCTCATTTGGTACCCCTATTCATAAACTATGTTGGCAATTTAATTCATTACTGTAAATTCTTGCTGTTTGCTAATGACCTGAAGCTATATTTGCCTATCAAAAGTAAGATACAGGATGATATCAATTCTCAATATGTTTGGTCTGAAAACAATGGAATGACGTTAAATCAAGGGAAATGCTTCTGTATAACGTTTGCTAGAATAAATAACAAAATTGTCTCAATGAAAGAAGAGATTTGGGTATAATCTTTGATGTGAAACTTTCATTCACAACCCACATTACCACCACCATCAATAAACCTCCTAAACTACTTGGTTTTGCCTTCTGAAATTGTGAGGATCTATCAGTGGATGCCACCAGAATAGTTTATCTAGCCTATATAAGATCTGTTTTGGAGTATGCGTCACCAGTCTGGTTTCCTCATTATACTGTACATATAAATAATATTGAAGCAGTGCAAAATAAATTCCTCAGATTTGTTATTTTTAAATCTGGCGTCATAGTTGGAGAATATGATCATTTGGATATAGTGTATATTGTGAATCTTCACACCCTTTTTTTTCACAGAACGATATCATTAGCTTATATAAAATTATTTCGGGTGACATTAGTTGTAATGATTATTACGTTAAGTCTCATTCCGAGTACCTGTTCGTTCAACTAGGAACAATGATCTTTTTACTGTCCCTAATCACCTTACCAACTTCTCACTCATATTAAGGTTCCTGAGAAGCCAACCGTCTTAATTATGACGTTACAGGAATTTCACAGGATTCTTTTGAAAAAACAGTGTAGTAACATAATTCAATAGATAATCAGCTAGGATGATAATTTTAAGTTTATATCATTTAAATTCTATATATTTACATTGATATATGTCTACATTTTCAAATACTTTAAGGTTGAGTGAATTTTAATATAATACTGTCCAAGTGGAAACTATTAATTGACGAAAATAAATTTATAGTGGCAGTATTTTTAGACTTCAAAAGAGCTTTTGAAACAATCGACATTTCAATCCTTCTCTCTAAATTAGAATACTATGGTATTTCTGGCAATGTATTACAATGGTATTTTTTATTTGATGTCTGAACATACAATGTTTGTTGTCTTTCTAACTTATGTATTATTGTATTATGAAGACCAATAAATTCTTATCTTATGCGAAATATCGCTAACGGATGTTATAGCTAGTATATTTTGAAAGGTATTCAAATTATACGTGTCTTCAGTCAAAATGGTAAATATTTCTGTACCAGTCAGATCATTTACACTCCGCAATGACTGAACTGAATAATTGTTATTATTACAATTTATCATTTTGTGTCTTAGGAGGCTCACCTCCTGGTGATGCTGACTTGATTAACGAAATACTCGTCAAGAGACAGTATTTTTGTTCTAGTCTGGTAAAAGTGTTTTCAATAGATTAATTTCAATACTAGAATATTCATTGATAGAACAATAAATCATTAACTATCTGTGACAGGTCCGAACCTATACAGGTAATACAACCACAGCAAATTGTTCAGGCCACAAACCAAGTTGTGACTTCAACAAATCAGTTCCCTTCCAACTTGATGGTCGTCAAAACTGCTTCGGGAAAGAATATCGTCTTGAAAGTATTATCTCAGTCATCAGATGTCAGTAAAGTAAATATAACCAAAAATATAATATACCTCAAATAATGGTGAACTCTTTGCGTAGATACCCAAAACGTATCTTCTGAAAACTGCAAAGAAAGCTGCACCTGTGGTAGCCCCAGTTGTCGAGGTAGTGAACGCAATCAGCCCCGAGGATCAAATATCTATTGAAGAGCATTACATAAAAAATGAAGTTCAAGAGGTAGAGGAGCAGGAGCAAGCTCATGACGAAGAAGAAATCCAAGACTTTCAAGAAAACCAAGAAGAAGAAGAATATCAGGATGGCCAAGAGTTTCAAGATGACCAAGAATTTCAAGATATTCAAGAGGACGAATATCAAGAATTACCAGAAGGAGAGGAAAGTGAAAATGTGGTGGCAGTAGATGATGACTCTGGAAGTGCGTACTTTGCAACAGAGACTGTCTTCTCAGAAGGTAAGAGTTTCAAGATAAAAATCTTGCCGGGAGATTAATCTTTCTTTCCTCAAAGTTATACATTAATAAAAAACAGTATTTGTCATTGAAAATGACTTATTTTTTAGCAGGGATGGGATGAGAGGGTGCTTTCCATATTTTATTTATAATAGTGTATTCAATCTTCAGATTTATAAAAATTTTTGCGAGCTTTTTTTTCTGTTTTTTTTTCCCGGCTAGACTATTATTTACCCTATGTTCACAGACCACCAGTTCAACTCCGTAAGCAGCGCGGAAGATGATAATGAAACCGCTTCTGATGATGAACAAGGCTCCGTTATGTACCAGTACGAAATGGTGGAAACGATCCAGAGGACAGTGAAACGCCGTGGTCACCTTCCCAAGGACTCTGTCAAGATTTTAAAAAATTGGTTATACGAACACCGCTTCAATGCTTATCCTACCGAAATCGAGAAACACATTCTGTCCCAAGAAACAAATCTAACAGTTCTGCAGATCAGCAACTGGTTCATCAATGCCAGGAGAAGATACTTGCCAGAAATGATGAGAAGAGAAGGGTGAGTAGTGAATTTGTGTGTTGGAAGCATGATGGGGTCATTTTATAATGGGGTTTTTCTCTCAAAATCGGATATTTTCATGGTGTCTTTATATCGATAGATTGAGGTAAATAAACATTTTTCAAATTGGTTCATTTGATTTCTTTCAATTTTTGTATTCAATTTTTGAATAAAATGAAAAGTTCAAGTTTTCAAAAATAAGTTCATGAGCTGTTAGTAACTAACAGCATTCATTCTTCCATATTGGTCAGTAACAATACCCAAAAAATATCCGGTTCATGAAAAACCCCCTTTTTTTCTCTTCCAGCTATGACTCTGTTCACTACACTATAACGAGACGAAGGCGGGCTTCTACCTCGCCACGTCAGTCAGAAAACAACACTGTTTTTTATCGTAAGGGAAAGAAAGTTATGCGACTTGATAAAGTGGAAGGGGTTGGTGGTAGCGAATCTGAGTACGAAGTTGATTCTACTGCCTACGTAGAAGAAATGGCAGGAGGTGAAGAAGTGCCTGTTATTGCTGCAACCCCTACAGGAAGGAAGTTCAATCCATGGAATGCTGATATTCATTACGGTTTGACAGTTAACTCGTCAGAGAGAAGGTAAAATATTCTCATTTTGTGTATCTTTGTATTTGTGAACCAGATTTAGTAAATTTGGCATGTCAACCACTTAATAATTTGATAAAAAAAACATGGTACAATTTATTGAAATTTTTATCAGTGTAACATTTTCTATTTATGCATTGTGATAGATCAGTATCTTACAACTGCTGATAAATATTCACTCAATTTCTTAGGTACACCTATACGAAAAAATCCAAACGTTGAGGTATAGTGATCTAGCTGACCACAAATTTGTGGTCCACTGTTCGTATTGTCCTGAAAGAAATAAGAACCAATAAAATTGTTGTATAAAATAGCATCAAACATTAGTTTTGAACGAGTGGTGGTGTTTGCATCGTATAGAACAATTTGGATTTTCATTTTACCATTTGTAGTTTCGGTAAACTTATGTATTCTTCTACTTCTCGTTGAATCCCTGCTCAAAATTTAAATCTGACAATCTCTAATACTACTAATAGTGTATGAATAAACTTGGATTTATAATGATGGTATTTATTCACTTCAAAATTCTTACTGATATCTTGTACTAGTTCTATTAGAGAGATGGTTAGAGCAAACTACCGTGATCATGCAAAACTTTTTTTCATGAATCTAGAGATTCTCACTGTGTTTATATATACTTAAAACTATATTATACATTCATAAAACGACTGGGGTAATGATACACAGATACAATACCAAAAGCAAGGAGATCGTTAGAACAGCTAAAATAAAATTGGTGAATAATGAAAAACAATGGTGTTTCAAGATAAAAATCTTGCCGGGAGATTAATCTTTCTTTCCTCAAAGTTATACATTAATAAAAAACAGTATTTGTCATTGAAAATGACTTATTGTGTTTCAAAATGTTTTCCTTTATGATATATAAATTTTTACGTATGTACAAACTATTTGTCAAAGCACTTTTTCAATTTCACATACCTAAACAAATTTTTGAAAACATAAACATAAATTTTCAGAATGGGCAATACAAACATCTACATATGACAACTAATACTATTGACAAATACACAATAGACAACATAGAAGAAAAAAAGTATTCCAAATGAAATATTTTTCCAATATGGTCCATTCCCATCTCAGATCATTCATACTTTTGTTTGTTCTTTGGCTATATGAGGTCTGGCAATCTACTATCACAACAAAGGTCTCGTATGTAACTTTCATGACTGTTTTTTATAAATTTTTATTCAAATTACTGTTCTGTTACCCCACTTCAAAATTGTATCTGAAGAATGGACTTCTCGATATCTCTCCTCTTTGTATAAATTGAAAGTATGTGAGATTTTCGCTGGACAGTTTACAAAACCCTCAAGAAAGCCATCGTGTAGCGAAACACATGTTGTGGTTTTGTTAACTGTCCAGTAAAAATCTCATAATAAAGTGTTACTTGAATAAGTTATGGATTTTCATCAAGTATTGGACAATTCCATCACATATTAGATTTGTTCTTTAGTCAAAGAACCTGTTATTATTTATGTTTCTTGGGTTCGATAAAGATTAAGTGATCTATTGATAACAGCAGGATAAAAGGTTTGAAGAATGTTTTCAATAATTTCCAACTGATTTGTAAAATTGAAGTGTCCTCATATACATACAATTTTTTTGAGATTATTTCAACCATCAAGACATTTTTCATTTAACCATCCAATAGTAACTACCATCTAACCTGGTTTCCTATTGAGATCCACTTTTATCACTCCTCACTCAAATTCAAGAATGGCAAGTGAATCATTTATTATTATTTAAGGGCCGGAAATGGAATTTGTGAATGAAGTTACTTTGGAAGAAGAAGTAAATGAAGTGACCATAGAGGAAAATGATAACGAAGTTATGCTTGAAAGTGACTCCAATGACAATTGCGAAGAGATATTGGTGCTCCACGAGTAGTCTAGCCGTAGTTACTAACCTTTTTTTATTTTTCTTTCGATTGGAAGTGTGTTGGAGATGGTGTCTTTAATAATTCATTGCTTATGGTAGGAGTACCAGTTCTTTGATTTTATTCATACTTCATTTAGGTTGAACCTTATTTCGATGTAGTAAATATGTGAACTGATTTACTAGGTCTTGCATAGTATAGAATTAACCATCATAGGAGAAAATAACTTCACAATCTGTAAATAATTGAAATTATGTAGCCTTAATTCAATGGATCCACGCAACAAATGTTTTTATCCTTATTCAAAAAACGCACTTCAATGTTAGATTTCCACTTGAAAGTTTGCAAAGCCACATGTGTTTCACTCTACAATAGCTTCTTCGGTTGTCACAATACTGTGACGCTGTGAGAGTTGTAAAGCCAGTAGATGCTATTGAATAGCGAAACATGTGTCACGGTTTTGTAAACTTTCAAGTGGGAATCTCACATTGAAGTATGTTTTTTGAATACGTTATAATGGATTTCCATCATCGGTCAGTTTTATCACATGCTATTATCTTTTTAAATTTTGCAACCAACAAAAGATGAATATTTAAAATAGCAGTTTTGAAGAATTATAAAAAACTGATCAGCAAGGAGATCTTTTGACTTAAAAATTTTTGGAAAATTGTATTTACAAGTGGAAGAATACAATTATAAAAAGTAGTAAGTTGTTTGTCCATTGATAAGGTTGGCTTTTCTGTACAGATTTAGGATATTTTTGTAATTTTTATGTATAATGGTTTAATTATGCTCATTAAAAAGGATTCATAATTTAGCAGATTATCTATTGATTTACCTTTGTTGATTTTTAGATTGTAGGTTATATACCCAAAAAAACGGTAAAAAATATTGAGTCCTTTTCGAAACAATGTCTTTCAAAGAATAAATTTTCACATAATTTCGCCACAGAAATTCAAGTCTAATGGAAATTTTATGGTTACACTCAGTTTATCTTATGGTGGTGTTATATACATCCCATTAATAAACCTTTGAGTCTTGTAATTGTGGGTGAATAAAGAAATTAATTTTATGGCTATTGTGGATGAAGGAGAAAATTAATTTTGATGTCAGTTAACAAGCATATCTGTTGATAGCACATTTATCTTTACAAATTATCACAAAATATATCACTTCAGAAAGGTACTTTATTAGTCCAGTTAATTTAGCGAATAACTTCGGAATGAGAGGTAATAAGCTAAATATTTGTATATACCATATTATGGCATTCTAAAAACTGTCTCATATAATCTCGTGTCTGTATCGGAAGTTATACGAGATCAAAAGTTGAAAAAAAACAGTTTTTTATGGTTATCTCAGTTTCTATTGCTCCAATGATGTTAACAACTATTACAAAAATTGTGAAGCATAAAATTTAGGATAATTTTATTTAGACTTTTTTTTATGCGCTCAATCGTTTTTGAATATCTGAATATTAACTTCGATTTTGAATAATTTCTATTATTTATCAGTTCATATATTTAACAACATTTTACAATTCACATATATTTTTCTATGTAACTAAAAATCTTCATTGCTTCAGTAACTTGATTAGCTTCACGAGGTTTATTCTTAGTAGATGGTGCTCCTTTCAAGAAAGTAGTAAAGCAAACAGCATGGTACTTTGCTTCAACTGCAATCAAGTCATACTCACACAGTAAACGATCTTTGACTGATTCTCCTAAGGAATCCTCTCATTCTTCTGCCTTTTTCATGAGATCGTCTTTAAATTGTAGAGTACTAACGTTACTAATCGTGCGTCGGTACTTTTAATTTTTTCTGACTCTGCTGCCGCATCAACTACTTGGCCACAAAATAAGCTCATTTTTTTGAAATCAAACACTTCATGTCTTTGTTTACGAGGTAAACTGGGTGATGGTAAAAGTTGATCTTCTTCCAAGCGTCGCTTTGATGCCGCTATNATATATCAACTGATAAATAATACAAATTATTCAAAATTGAAGGTAATATTCACGGTTGACCTTGGATTACAGTACGCACGCTGCGCGTTTACCGCCCTCTATTTCAAAAACGATTGAGTGTATTAAAAGAAGGTTCAAATAAAATTTATCATAAATTTTATGCTTTACAATTTTTATGCTAGTTGTTAACATCATTGGAGCAATAGAAACTGAGATAACCGCGAAAAACTGTTTTTTTTACCTTTGACCTCTTATAATTTCCGGTACAGACACAAGATTATATGAGACAGCTTTTAGAACGCCATAATAAAGGTATATACAAATATTTAGTTATTACCTCTCATTCCGAGGTTAACCCCTTTTTTATGCTCAAGTGACTGGACTATTATGATAACTTATAGGATCTGAACCTAAGATTTTCCTGAACTTATCTTAATTGTTCCATCACACTACATTTGCGAATGTCTTATATGTAAAGATGAATCTAAACACCTATGATATGATGTTGATTTTGATGTAGCAAATTATTGGTACTATATGACTCTTTTATAATGTATCTTACAGAAATAACGTTCCCTGCAAGTGGCTGTCTTTCAAAATGGATTTATTCTCCAGCGATTCAAATCCAATGGGAATTGCTACTTTCGCACAGGTACCGCTCTGAGAGCACCTTAAGGATTTTCCTGTAGTGCTTGTCTTTTGTCCTTGAAAAAAACACTTAGAAGTAAAAATTATAATCGTTTTATTAAGAAAATTCGTTTATCATTATTTTTTTTATGAAACAGGTAAACTTAAACTTTATAAAGCATTAAAACTAATCACTAGTCTCACTGGTCATCTTCCTCTACAGGTACCTGCACCCGCAAACTTCCAAATACCTCGGAGGGAATACTTTGTTTTTCCACAGGTATCTCCTCTTCTTCATCTTCATCATCGATATCAATCTCATCAGGATTGACAACTTTGTCTTTTTTATCTCCCTGGGTTTCTCCCCTGACAAAGTTTATTCCAGACATTTCGACTGCTTTGGCTTCCAGCAATCGCATTCCATCCTGTAAAATAGTGGAGTAATGAGTACATTTTCCGAAAACACTATAAGAGGATCTGATTTCCATCCGAAAGCGTTTCCATTCTCAAAACCTGAGAAGACAAACTTAGTACATAAATCACGTTTTCCAACTGACTAATTGGATTTTTTTGAGGTTTATATTACGCACCAACTTTTCTGTTTTCAATTTATTACCCTTGAGCAAATTTACTGTTGATCTAGGTTCATCTATTTTTCATATTGTGGAAAGTTTAAAATCCAAATACACAAAGAAACTCTTTGGAGAGATTATTCTAGAAAAATTTTGATATTCAAAATTTGTATCATACTACTAATTGGTATAAATGAAGTTATATTTGAAAATTTCACTGTATAACATCCTTTTAGAGCTATTTCTCCTAACTGAATGCCTTTAAAACACATACAATATTTCTTGAAAAATGAACCAAACAAAGGTTTCTGAGATGCAGCCAGCTTTTCAGCAGGACATGTATTCGTTACAACAACAGTGTGGTCAATGGACTGCTAACTGATAACCACTTTGAACAAGATAGCTTACCTTGTATAGATTCGTATCGGTAACATTTCAGAATAATTCTCATCACACGATTTTGATATCTTTGGAGAATTGTTAGTTTCTTCAGGTCAAACGAATGAATACAGTGGCAGTATAATCAAAATGCGTCTGGATTATGGTATTATATACAAGTAATTTTTATTCAAAGCTTGGTGTCTGTGATACTCGAGAAAACAAATTTTATATCATCAAAATGGTCATGAAATTTTAGATAATTGTTCAATCAAATGAAAGGTCAAATTGGAACCTCGGCATAGAATAAATTCAAAACCAGCACTTTTTCCAAACACCAGAACTGGAATACTCTTTTCGACGCATGTTTCACCAAACATGTTGTCGTCTTCAGGAGATGGAGAAAACTGGGAAAACTTCATCTCCCGAAGATGCCAACTTGGTTGGTGAAATGAGGGTCGAGAAAAGATTTGCTGTTCTGGTGTTTGGAAAAAGTGCTTGTTTTGAATATTTGTCCAAGTTGAAGCCGAGATATTCCAGTTCTGTGGTAAATACTAGTCTTTCAGATTCTACCAATATATTAATTTGATTAATATTGATACCACTAGATTTGTAAGGAGTTGTCACTATCAATCATTGGCTTTTCTACATATTTCTTTTCAATTTGTTCCTTCTCATATATCAGCAGGAGATGCTTTGAAGTAGGTTTTTTTTTCATTCAAAGCTGACTAGATTTTCGTCACAAACAGATAATAATGTATCATCAGCAAATAAATGGTATACAATCACAATAATGAGGATTTTGTTCAACACTAATGTACATGAGCAATGAAAGTGTTCGTTAAAGTTAACTGAAGGACTGTCTCAGAGGTGTGTTTAAGTTTGAAGTTTATTGTATGAACATGATCTAGGATTTGCTGGGATTCTACTTTTGTCATAATTTCTCTGAAGTTGTAATGTAACACTGAAATATCTAGCCTCTAGCAAACAAGGAACGCAGTGAACCACAATCCAAACACGTTACTTACTTTGACACCAGGTGCCAGATCTGCGACAGTCCCAGACATACTGGCAGCTGTACTCAGCATCTGCGCCGACATCATGTTAACCTGGGTGTTGAACATTGCCTGGACACTACGCTTTATCCTCAGCATCTCGCGCATGGTGTCTTCGTTGCCGTGTCGTACTTCGAACTCCTTCCAAATCTGCCAGAATTCGTTTGTTATACGCGGATCGCAAATTTGGCTGCAATGAGCATAGATAGCTCTGGCTCTGTCTATTTCACCTGGAAAATGGAAAAAAGCTTAGATTATCTTCCGTTCCATAATAGAGTATGAAAAGTTTAATTTGCTTTATAATTACAGAACTTACAAATTTACATAGTAAAAATCACCTCATTTATAAAATCTGCTCAGTCAAGAAGCTTAGCATATGATTTAGCACGTGTAGTCATTGAAGTTTACTTTACTCTATATGAATTACCTCTGTCTTAATGAAAAATGGCAGACGGTAAGAAATAGCTTCAGAGTATTTCTAAAAACAAAAGATTGATTCATAAGAAAAAAGTTAATACTTTTGAAATGATGGCGTTGAATACATATAAAATAAACTTGGCAGGAGATTACAGGAAATAAGAGTAGGAAGCAAATACTTTGGGAAGTACTCTGTGTAAATTCTATACCATGTGTTTTTTGAATCATTTGCCAAACACTGAATTATTTTCCCACATATTTTAGAGAGGCTATATGTTTCATTCACTATCGTGATAATTCCATTTCTTTCAGAAAGATAATCCAGGGCTAGTCCTCTGAAATTAGAAAGGAATAATTTATTCAGCAATATTCTGCGATTGCCACAGTAAAAGTCTTAGAGAAATCACAGAATAGTGCTGCAGCTGCCTCAATTTGATTAAGGCATAATTTGTACACTTGAATGTTTGAAACTTCAATTGGAAATTCTGTTTGAAATCTGTTTTTTCCTTAACCAGCTGTCACTCCCCTACGAACGACAACCCCTAATTGGGCGTGCTAAGGGTTAACGAGCTCTTACTTTTTAATATGCAATTCCTAGCATTGGTTGGTTGATAGGCAGTGAAAATCAATCGTCTGGCCTCGCAACTCGAACCACCTTTTCATCTGACGGTCGATTGAATGAGTGGAATAAACCACTCACACCAACCCAACGGGCCACCTTCCCACCAAATTGTTCAACATGTTATGTTGTGTTATTCTTTTTCGATAAGTTCCTCTATGAATTTCGATGGAGGTTTCATTGGAGAAAACATTTTTCAGATTTCTCAATGTGGCTGTAACTAGTATAGCAGTTTGAACATGGTCAAATATTTTTAGGTTAAATTACTCTTTCGGTTCTGTATCAATTTCTCACTATTTTATCTGAATATGGTCTATATAACTCCTAACCAAACATTTCTTGATTTCTATATATCAAGTTTTTGGAAATGGTTGACACTTGATGAAAATCCATTATAAAGTTCAACTCAAATGTTTACAAAAACCATGACACGTGTTTTATTATAAAATAGCTACTTCAATACTGTTGTGTAGAAATGTTGAACAAATCTGAAGAAGCATAGTGAAACACAGATCACGGTTTTGTAAACTGTTAAGTTTCGCAATAAGTGTTATTTGAATACATTAAGTTTTTAAATGGAAGCAAACTGATGAACGATGTCTTTTGATAGAATTTATACAATTACTCACCTAATTTTGTCTCCATATCAGCAAACCTAATGCACATATCCCTCGTTTTATCTTCTGGTAGCACCTCAATCGCCTTTTCATAAATTTGCCTAGTTTTTGGGATACCATAGATTTCTGCCGCTCTCTTTATGTATATATTGAATATTTCGAACATTTCTCCTTCAGGCACAGCTTTGGTAGACCTTTCGTAAACAGCCATCGCATGTCTAGCCATTCCATGCTCTTCTTCCAGCTAGTAAACAATTGTAAACCATTAATTCATATTTGAACATTTCAAATACAATTTTAAATTAAATACCTTGGCGTAGAGAAGGTAGAGATGTTTCGCGAACTGAGGAGGACACCCCTCTAAACACTGCTCGAAAAGATCCCTGGCTCGTTCAAGTTTAGTACCTCCATATCGTTTGAGGAACTTGGTGAGATAAGTATTCCAAATGTCGTAAACATTTGGCCACTTGAAAAGAGAGATGCCTTTTTCGTAAGCCCTGAACGCTTCCTCAAAGTAGTTATTTTCTTCCAAAAATAATCCGTAGTTGATGATGATCTGAGGTGTGGCGATTTTCAAATCTATTATGCGATCATAGATAGCTTTGCAAGATTTAAATGTACCGAAACTTTCTTCTAAATCAGCATACATGGACCACACTTTCAGCGATTTATAGACCCTACTTTGCACCTGAATTGAGATGAAACAAAAAATATAGTTGTAAATATGTTTGACGAAACAAAATGTTTTTTTTTGCAACGCAACATGAAATATGAAGTTGATATCAAATATCAATAATTCTGCAGATACAAGATATGTTGAATACCATTGATACTGTCAACCTTGACTGCCTAATCGCCCAACTTCATTACTATGGGTTTGATGGTTAAATTTCAGACTGGCTCGAAGCCTATCTCTTCAACCGATCACAATTTGTCATCGTAAATGACCACCTAACAACACTCATTTCGTACACCCGAATTGCAGTAATTGATGAAAGACTAATCTGCATATGTTTTGGTTGGTTTCCGGTTTTTGCCGTGGTCTTCTTTGGTGACGTATCAATTAAAAGTTTCAGTTGATACGTCAATAAGAGTACTTCAACCACGCCACTGAAGATGACTGCCACAGTAGCAGTTGGAATGTTTGCAGATTGTAACCAAAGAATACCATGGCAAAAAACCGTAATCCAACCAAAACATTGACGCCAGTCGTGAAAGCCTAAATTCCTACATTAATCTGCATATGTTTGCCTATTCTTATTGGGTCATCCTTCAACTGTAGGTATTGACAAAGAATCCATTCCTTCTGTCTCTGAAGCTAAATGTCTTGATGTTATTTTTGACCGGTAGCTAAAATTAACCAAACAATCAGGTGTCGTCGCAAAGAGAACATACCTAAGCCTTAAAAAACTATTCCCCTTCAAACAGGGTCTGGACACTACCACTAAAAAAATGCTCTGCAACTCTCTTGTCCTCTTGCATACTAACTATGCTGACATAGTTTATGGACCTCATTTATCACATGAAGGGCATGCAAGATTGCAAAAAAATGCAAAATCAATGCATTCATTTTATAAAAACGGTTCCCCTCAAGCACATATCACCCACCATAATGGGAAATTGCCACTTTTGTAATTGGATGAAACAGGTATTGTTCACTTTGCTTGTCTTGGCTAGTGAGGAACCATAAATGATAGATTTTCTATTTCTGTCCATCGTTCCTCATTTTTCAAAGCATCCTTTTCTTATTCAGTATCACTGATTCAGTATCTTATCTGCTGAATAATCCGCCTTCAGAGAATTGCAATTTATCTGTTCCTATTCCGGGAAAAAAAACTTCAAAGAGGCTACCCTGAATGGGTCGCTGAATTCAATTAATTTTAGCAGATTTGAATTCTGTCAATTTGTTTGAATTATATACTTTACCCTGTTTTTTGGATTTGGTTGATATTATTTTGAATGTACTTGATCCTTTTTATGTGCAATTTTGTATTTTATAACACAATAAATACTTATCATTATTAATGAAATGTTGAATCTAGAATATTCAAACAATATGAAAAATTTAGAAAACGTCAAATAATATACTACTTGTTAAATAGTGACTGATCATAAATTTATTTATTCAAGAATTTTCAGAAGCTTGTGAATTTCTCATCCAATTTTTCAAAACAAATTCATTTTAGCAATTTGTATAAAATATTATTTATAGAAACTATAGTTTCTAAGATGAGAATTGTTTCTTACATAAACATTCACGTATTTTGAAGCAGTGAATTTCTATAACTCGAATATATAATTTTCCGGCTACAATTCTGATAAATATGAAGTGAGTTCCATAAATGCATATCTCCATACATTTCTTTATTGGATTATAATTTGCCTTATGATGTGGTTCGATTCTAAAACCATTGATTCTTTTAAATTTGTATTAATGACTTATACATGTTAGGACTAAAATTATGTTTTCATATGCAGATGACAGACACATCTATAAAACTGAATATTGTTTTCATAATTTTTCATAGTCTGGTATAATTCAAATGAAATGATTGCTGCTATGATTATTTATGAATGAATGAATTAGCTTTTTTTTTGAAATTGTGAGTGGTTCAACACTCAAAAAACAGTTGGAAACATTGACTTCTTCACAAAAAAATGTTCTTTTCTGTTCTGTACTTACCGTTTCTGAGTCATCATGATAGGCCACTTTTCGACTAGGCATAACTGTTGCTCTATGCATAAGTTGCAAAGCTTCATCATAATTTTCATTTCGGATTTCCATTTCAGCCCATTCACACCAAACATTCGCCAAATCATCTACTTTCACATATGGAACTTGTGTGGCCTTTTCGAAAATAAGCCTGGCATCATCAATCTGCCCGTTTTTCTCATAGAATTTTGCGAAATCCACCCATAAGGTGTGAAGTTTACCCACAGCTAGTTTTGGATCCACAGTTTGCACTGCTTCTGTGTAAGTGTTGATTATTTCCAGTGGTTTATCTATAAAAAAAATCAATAATTATCATAGGAACAGTCGAAAAAAACTAACACACATTAAATACCAAACAAAATTTACTGAAAATTCTTCTCCCACACCAGAAAAAAAAGAGAAACGAAATACAATAGAACAGAAAATGAAGTCTGGGATTTATGAAATGAGCTGTAAGGATTGGGATAAAAATATGTTGGCCAAACTAAGCGGACTTATTAGCAACACAGAACATGTTTCACATATTCAGTTTCATGAAACAGAATAAGTGCGGAATACTTGAAATTCATGAGGCACCACATCTACGTGATATTACTGTTATTATTAACGCATTCAAAAAACACTTTATTGTGAGATTTTCACTAAACGATTTTACAAAAACGTAACACGTGTTTTGCCATACAATGGCTTCTTCGGGTGTGATCATGTTAACTTGGTTAGCCAAACGATCTTCAAAGGACATTATTTTTGTTCTGGTGTGGGAAAAGTGTTTGAGACAGATTAAAAAATAATTGAAAAGAATAAAATCTAGACTGGTTGAACTCTAGTACTAAACATTTCGTCTGCTACTTCAGCAGACAAATAGTTTTCCTTTAACTTACCTTCATACAGTTGGACCCTTTTATGCCATTCTTGGACGTTATGCGGGTTCTGTCTCAGAAGTACGGAGTTAAGCAACAGTAATCTCCTTTCCATGAGATTTTCAAACCTGGATAGCCTCATTTCCAGATCTGTATCATCATCTTCTGTAGGATTAGCCTGATTAGCAACCTCTTCCATTTTCTTGCTGAGACTCAATTCCTCAAACTGTGCGTAAGAATCAAAAACTTGGGTGAAATCACGAACGGTAGTGACTGTTTGAATAGCTTCCTCATAAATATCTCTTGCTCTTTCAAACAGGCCACTGCGTACATAGTAGTTTGCTAAGGAGTTCCAGAGGTGGCCCAGTTGATCAGTATAGCGTCTCAGGCCTCCTCTGATGATAGCATCCACATTTAAGGAACGAATCTTGTCAGGATTTTTTGATATGAGTTCGCAAAGCTCGTTCCAGAGTTGATGCTTGGATTTTCCTTTCTGGGAAGCAAAATTTTCATCATTGACAATTTTTGCCAATACTTGGGCAGCTTCGTCAAGCCGACCTATTTCTGTGAGGTAGTCCACATATTCCTCAGCATTTTCTGGACACAGTTTCCAGTACCTAATAATAACAATTATAATGAAGGCTAGACAGCTTTTACAGAGTTTTACAGTGATTAAATGCACTACACCTGTTCCTGTATACAATATTGTTATATTTTGGTTGACAATCATGTTTTTAACAAGCAAAAATTTTCATAATGAATTAATTTTCTTTAAAAAATTGAATTTTTGTTATGTTTCTCTTCTTGGCTACTACATCGCCTAATGTACTGTATACAAAATAACAATAAAAATGTCTAATAATTAATTAAGATGAATAAAATTCAGGGTTTGACATTTGAAAACTCAAAAGTATTTTCTACAAACTATAGTAGGGTCTATTACATACCTCCTGAATACCCGGACAGCAGTCTCAGGAATATCATGCTGCTTTACAAATTTCAAGTACAAAGGCCAAATCCTATTATGTTGTGTTACGGGTAACGCTCTCAAAGCTCTGTCGAACACATTTCTGGTTCTTGTTATTTTACACTGATCGGTAAGGAATGTGCAGTAGTCCATCCAGATTCGAGGCATCTTGTGCATGAACACTAGGGCCCTTTCGAATGCATTATTTACCTCTTCATATTCGGGGTCTATTATGCACCGAGATTTGACTTGCATTCTCCTAGTTCGTAGATATTTATACCATACCTTGTAAGAACCTGGCAGTTGCCTCAGGGCTCTTTCGTATACGATGTTGACTCCTTTGGGAGCTGCCTTTTTGTGTTCAACATATCGCAACCAGTGCTTGACTGAATACGGGTTGCGAAGAATCTCTTCTTCATAAGGCAAGTCATCATCACCCTGAGATTAAAAAAAAAATTAGTAATGGTTTCTTAAATGACCAGAATCATTAACTTACCCGAAGAGTTGTCA